TTTAGTGTCATAGCAAGAATGTTAGGTTGGCCCTATATATGGCTCCAAACCTCCCTCAGCTGGAAAAATATGAATAAATGACACAAGACAGGAGTAATTCCAACGGATGGCCACATGGCTGCCTCCCTACAGAGCTTGAAATGGTTCCATTTTCTGGGCTATGTATTGTTATATACTGTATATTTTATTTTTTATCTTACCCCATATCTGATTTTAACCAGGCTCCCATGGCATGTGGAGCTGACGATGTTAAGACACAGAGTCTATAAATAAAAAATATTTAATCAAGCAAGACAAAAATGTTTTTGATTAAAACATAATCCAAGATTATAATCTGAGCTTGATCATTGTTATAGTTTTGATTGTTCCCCGTGTACATTTTATAAAATGCATTAAATAAAGACCAAAATTAATAATTTATTAATTAAGAAAACAGAGATAATAGATTTGAATATGTTTTCTAGTAGTGTTAGCTAATGTTGTATAGGCCCTATAATTAATAATTCTATGAGTAATCAGCCAAGGCTTTTATTCATTCATTAAATATTCATTTATTCATCTTTTTACTATTTTATCCTAATAAATGCTGTAAGGAGCCGTAATTGTGGAAAATTGTGATTTTTCTAATATTGGATAAACCAACTAAGGGGCAACATGTCGAGATAAATAATTATTCACACTTTCATTAACACTCACGGTCAATTTATAGGTTTCAAATTCTATGCATGCACTGACTGAGCAAACTAGACTTCCTGAAGGAAACCTACGTACGTGTGTGTGTGTGTGTGTGTGTGTGCATGTGTGACACTAAGGTTACCTGCTTAAACCAGGACACAAACTAGACCTTGTTGCTGTGAGGCAACAGCGTTATGTCCCTGTCAGTGTCCCTGAATTTAAAAAAAATGACATCACAAATCACAAACTCAGATTACGTATTTAGTCGGTTCTCTTCAACTCTGGTGAAACAGGAAACAGGATTTTGCTACAGAGATATGTTCAGGACACACATCTAGGTCTCTCAGAATACACGCCCACAGGAGAAAAGCCTCAGTCGGAGATAACATCACTGACACCACCATGGTTTCTCTCTCACATCCGATAAGGCACAGAGGACATGCAGTTGTTGTTGTCACAGGTTTAATGCTGAGGTAAAAAAGAAAAAAAAAAGTTCCCTGAAGCTTTTCACAACACAAACACAGACCGACTCTGGAACAGGGGCAAGTGACAGAGACAGGGAGAGGGAGCGGAATTAGACTTGGTATTTTTATACTCTTTGTTCCCCTCAAACCGCTCATGTGTAGAAATGAGCACAGCCACCAGGTGAGAATGTGTGCTAGACAAGAACACACACACCAACACAGTGAGAGAGAGAGACAGAGAGAGAGAGAGAGAGAGAGAGATAGCTAAGGAAGAAAGTGGGATGCTGACAGAACAATGAGGCATTTTCAAATATATATGTAGAATATATATAATATATATATACAGTATATATACTGTATATATATATACACATGTGATAGATGATCAATTTGAGCATTAATTTTTCTCCTTTAGTATAAACAATATCACAGGGGCAAAATCCTGTAAATATTAAATGAAAATTATAGGTGATGTGTATTTTTGTGTTATTTTATCCACATCTACTTGTGTCTATGTGTCTGAGCATGAGAATACAGACCAGAAGCCACACACTTCTAAAATCAACATCTTCAACAGAAGAGATCTTTCAAATAATTTTCCTTTTCCATCATTATTGAAGCACAAAAAGGATTTTGGAGGTATAAGGAAAAAAAGGTGAAAAGAAAGCAGCTAAAATCAACTGGTGTGTGATGATATTTTTAGACTTTGATTAATAACAAAAAAATAATATAAAAATAATTGAAGGAGGATTTCTCTATGACGGAGGCAAACCAAATAAAATCAAAATCAAAATCAACCTGCACCACAGCCATTACACCAGGGTCGATGCCACCTGCGATAACACATCTGGGTTTTAGATCGGAGCCAGACCAACATAATGCTTACATCTTCACACCTGCTTAACAATCCAGCCATTGCGCGCTTGCACACACACACACACACACACACTCACACACACAAACACTCTCTCACACACACAAAAGCGTGCCAACATCATGTTGCACTGGTTGGCAGGTGCACCCTCAGTCTGGACTCCAGTCCAGAAAAGGTCCAGACTACAATACAGTGAAGGCAGGCAGCTGGGAGCAGCCACCTTTCATGCTAACGGAGCTAGCAGGTCGTTTGCAAGCGATGCCTGCCTGCAGTATATGACACAGCCAGCAATCAGGCAGATGAGGAGGCAGATTGGTTCTCACACAGACACACACACACAAATACACCGATTCATAATATATACATAGCAACAACAACCGAGCCGAGGACCTAATCCACCAAATCCATTGTCTGAGGGAAAGGAGAGGAGAAATGCACAGATGGAGGATAAGAAAGGTTAAAAGGATGGATGATGGAAGGATGCAAGGACAGATAGCTCACCGGGTTGCCTTCTTCCTTCTCTTTTTTCCACCTCTCTCAGCACATTATCCAAGCTAAGTGTGTGTACATGTATACATGTGTGTATGTGTATGATGTGTGTAGTGAGCCGGCAAGGATACACACTGCTACATTGCTGCCTCCTCCTCCTTCTCCTTCACTTCCTCCTCCTTTCCCCCCCCCCCCCCTCTCCCCCCCCCCCCCCTCTCCCCCCCCCCCCCCCCTTCCCCCCCCCCCCCTCTCTCTCTCTCTCTTATGGTCCCTCCCTCTTTCGCTCTCTCCTCCTTGGATTTATTTAATTATTTCCTCCCTCCCACTCTTTCTCCCACCCCTCACCCCCCCTCTATCTCACATCTGATGGAGTTGCAGAGCTTTTCAAAGAAGACTACTCTTTTTTTCTCTCTGTCCATTCTTCCCGTCAGAAAAAAAGCAAATCAATACCCCCCCACTTCTCTCTCCGTCTCTCTCTCTTCCTATCTTTAACTTTCACACTAAATCCCTGAATTGTTGTGTTGTGTGTCTGTGTGTGATGCAGCAGCAGCAGCAGCAGCAGCAGCAAAGCTGCACAGGCTCCTCCCTGAAGAGACACTGGTGCCACACAGCTGAGAGCAGAACAGAGGGAGAGAGAGAAAACGAGAGAGAGGGGAGGGGGGGCCGAGTGGGCGGAGCCTGTTGCAGGCAATGGGTGATGGGAGGCGGGAGGGCTGTGCCAGAGAATTCTGTTAAAGACAGTGTTATCCTCCATCCACTGAGCACATCATCCAGGATTTCACCACTTCCTATCTCTATTCCCCAGCTCCATCATTCAGAAGCAGACACACACACACACACACACACCTTACTCTGTAAATGCAATATGTGTGTAACTCTAAACAACACAACTTTTTCTTTTTTCACATGACAACTCATCATGCTATTCTCATGACCCTCATGAAGAGGGTCTGCCTCCGAGGAGTGGAACATGACTTCCTTGCCATCATTTGCAACAGTTTCAAAGGAAATGTGCTTATTGGGAAATGTAAAAAAAACACAGACACAGTACAACCCAGATATTTCTACATTAACACACAGATGTCTCTGTATGGCACAGAGCTGCAGCAGAGCAACTCACCAACTCACTCTCTCTGTGTCCCTCTTTGTCCGCCTTCCTCTCTTTTATTTCTCTTTTCTGTTTTTTTCTCGATCAATCTCTCACTCTCTTTCTCTCTCGCTCTTCTTCTGCCTCTCTCTCTCTCTCTCTCTCTCTCTCTCCCTCTCTCTGACCACGGTCAGTTCAGTAAATCACTGCTGGATGTATGTTGGTCTGCAACATAAATTTCACTGAACTACAGGACAGTAAAGGCAGATTAATCCCTGCCAGTGTGTTCCATTCCAAACACAGCTGCATGTGATGAGCTCATTCAAAAAAATCAGAAAATGTGTGATCCTTAAAAGCCAGTGTTAATCCACCCTTTCATCTATTATCATTAAAAGTGGCACAGATACCCACTGTCCTTCTGGGGACATTTATTGTAAATAATTTGGTGACTCCTTCGCCTCACTTTGGCCTTAGGTTTGATTCAGATTCAAATGCTTCACCTTCTGTGAGATGCATGCCATGAAAGGAGGTACATCGTGAGTTATACTCAACATAAATTCAGACATATTTTTATCTCCAGGGCCATTCTTGGTTTTATCACCTCCTTATCCAGGCTCTAAAAATGCTGAGCGTTATGGCCTTTAACACTAGGATTTATAGTGATCAGATCACATGTGGAAAATGAACAATATGTTGGCATGTCTGGTTATGTCTCCTCCAACCACTGTCCAGTCAACCTGAGGTCCACAACCGCAGTGCAAACACACACTGACGTCACTGTCCTTCTCAAGGACAAAGTGATGATTTCAACAAGTCCGAGCGTACGGATGTGTTCATTGTTGTTAGTCTGTAATGTGTCAGTGTACTGTACGTATGTATGTGTGTGTGTGTGTGTGTGTTTGTGAGCTACCAGTAGAGAACGTACTTACCTCACTTTGACAAACAAAATCATTTTGCATGACATCAAATGCATTTACAGCAGCTTTGACAAATGAATGTACGGTTACTGTCAATATTATCTAATTATCTACAAAGGAAGTTATCATGACAGGCCTATTGTGTATTTTCTTTACCACTGTGAGGTGGAGTGTTTATAGTGACTTGGCAGAGGCTCATGATCCTCAAGCACTTTAGGTTGAGTGAGGGTTTTATAGTGTGTCTACACATAAAAAATAAAAAACAAGCCAGCGCTTCCTCACAGTTCATCTTGCACTTAATTTTCTTTACCTTGTATAAAACTACATGTGGTGTTAATGACCATTACAGACTGCTGAAGGGCTGCTTCATGATTTTTACAGCTACTGGAGATGGCACATGGAAAAGACCACTGACAGTGTTCTCAGCTCTCTCGTCTCTATGTCTAAATATCTCAAATCAGACTAAAAGTGAAGGCAGAGCACGTTTTACTCACTGTTTTCTCCGGGGCAGGGTAAGCCAGGCTTTTCTGGGATACTGGGGAAAACTGCCAAAAAGAGAAGTAACAAGGGGGGAAAAAACATTACAATGTGCTGCTTTTCTCCTGTTGTCACCAAGGAGAGGAATGAGCAAAGAAAAACCCACAGGCCATGAAATTAAAAACAAGGCCTTAGGCCGTAAAACAAGTCCCACAACAGAACAGCAGGAACTGCGTGGCAGTCAGGCTCTGAACTTGTGTAGTATTTTCCAGAAGATACATTTATCCTGAGAAGTTACTGTAATATTACAATATTTTAATAACTAAAAGTTCATCACAAAAGGGAAGTCAAAAGGCCGTAAACGCAACTTTTGAAACCATTACGAGTCTCAGTGCCGCAGCAGAGCCTGCAGGTCCACACATCCATTTCACCATCTGTTCAAACTGCTACTGTATGGAAGATGCTAAAAAACCACCAACACCAGACTGAGGATCACCATTTACCCCAGAGTCATAACAGAACTACCCTGATTACACTTTCTCTCCCAACACTACTGCAATAACGCTTAAGGATATAAAAGTACAGGAGTATTGCTTACTAATTTAGTATGTATAAATGCATACATCAGTATACAACCATGTTGTGGCTCTAAAGTCACTATGCACGTGTAAGAAGTGTGCACATTTGAGCGTGTGGGCATTTCGATTGTATCAAAATAACACGCAGAACGAATAATTCATCTGTTCTTCTTGGACTAGAAAAATGCCCCATATTGGATAACTGGAAAACATCTTAAATTTACATTCAGCAAACATGGTAAAAAGTACAATAGGTTTTCCAACCATCAAGCGAAGACTATGATGTAAGTGTATGTTTTGCTTCTAAAAGCTTCTTTTAAAACTCCTGCGACAGCAGCCCTCAGTTTGTATTGAGCTTTAATGAGGGAACCCACCGTGCAGCAGGAGTTCAGGCTTCTTGTTCCGGGGGTAGATACGAAATGCTTCCTCCAGCTCCATCTGAGATGAGATGGTACAAGGGTCTCCTGTACAAATACAAAAACAGACAAACATCAATGCCTTAATATCAAAGGTTTAAGCCTGGACTTTGTTCAAACCTGCATGGAGGAAATTATCATTTCAACTAGGTCTACTTGTTTTCCTTGACATAATCATTGGGCATCTAAATTAATAAATAAAAATCGACTTCATCACTCCTGCTTATGAAACATTCCTTAGGTCAATCATGGTCATTGTGGGGTGAACTTTGGCCAGTTATCTTCTTTGCTTATCTATATGGCCCATTTTATACACAAAGCTATTCAATGAACAGGAGCAATAAATGGCTAAAGCTAAGTGCTGTTCCTTTAACTGGCCTGAGTGTGTGGAACTCAGGGCTCAACTGGGTTTGAAGGCCATCGACATTTCAGTCATGTATTCTGGACCGAAACCGTGAAGTGATTTGTTGGCCAGTAGCAGAGGCAGAGTGTCAGACTTGAGAAGTTTACTCGGGCAAACTCGGGTTTGTTTTGGCAAACTGTGAGCCCTTTTATATGTGTGGCTAATCATGCTTTAAAACCTACTTAATTTGTCACTTTCATAAACTTATACAGACGACAAAACAGACACTCTGCATTTACTTTCCCGTGGAACAGCAGTTTTTGGTGCTCAAAACACCACAGCTCTAATGAGCGTAGGATTTTCTGAGAACAAGTCCAATCCTCTAGGCTGCTGGCTTCCCCCAAAGATTCACAAATAGTTACATTGAGAGCAACTGGATGGAGTAGGTTTACCGAAGACATTCCACCTCTCCTCCAAGAGGCTTCTTTAGTTCTGAGAACTGAAGAAGCCTCTAGGAGGAGAGGTGAAACCTCTTCAAGAAACCTACTCCGTCCAGTTGCCCTCGATGTAACCATTTTTGGATAAGAGGACCGGGATGACTGAGAAATGTTCCCCAAAGATTGTTAGCTTAAGTTAGCTATGTCTTTGCTTAACTATAACTTGTCAATCTATACCTGGGATTTATTACTATTTCTGGTTGCCTTTCAGCTCTAATCTATTTAACCTACATTCCTACAACACTTCAGAAGTCTGGCAGGTAACCAACTTACAGTATAATAATATAATATTTTATTGATTAAATACATGCAAAGTGCTTTATGCTACAGACGCCTGGATATTTCACAGTCTGGTGTGAACTATCCATAACAGCCCTAATCATTCAGTTTGCTGGATAAACTCAGATTGGAACGTACTTCTATCCCTGATGTGCACTTTGCCATTGCTGAAGACTAACAAGCTCCTCATCCTGTTCACTTTATTTGATTTAAAATGAGTCTCTCTGTTCAAGAACTACTACTGTGGACGTGGCCACGGTTTAGGAGCTGAAACTGCTGCTGCTGCAGCTCGGCTGACCTGACAAAGTGTGAGGGGCACGGAGTAATGACTTTATAATGTCCAACACTTGGCACAGGGGCGGAGAAGGTTCTGTGAGGACGCGGCAGCGCCTGCGGACTGATGCGAGGCACACCCACCTTCATCATCGATCCACTTGAGCGTGATGGGCTGCTGCTTGGCAACACTACACATGGTTCTCACCTCCTCGCACAACTCCACAAAGGTGAGTGTGGAGGCCAAGTCTGTGATCAGCATGTCTCTGAATGAACAGGAAAAGAGAGAGCATAATGTCAAGAGTGAGTCACTGGGTCTAAGTGGAAGTAATGCCTTTCTCCCTCGAAGGCATTAAACGCTAGATGACAAACTCATAACCACATGGAAGCTCGTATTTTTTCTACAGTAATGTTTCCATATTTATGACCCTTTTGTGCTTGGAGTTCTAGTGCTGTGATGTAAATTTTATTTTCATAATCAAATTTAAAGTGTCAGTCAATCTGTCAAGTAGAGATTCACCTTCTATAAAAACAGCCTTACTCACCAATACGATGAGACGGAAATGTGGTTTATGACAGTCATACAATGACAGTACAGTACAGCAGGGGGCGTATGAGCCTAAAATCATTGGTGGTGATTCACTATTAGACCAAGACTTCAGGTCCCTGCGTGGCCTGAGTGAGTGAGTATTTAAGATAACATTTTCAGTTTATGAGACCATTTCAGTTGGTAATGGTATTTTGCGTAGTTATATAGTATTTTACAATTTTTTTTAATACTATGCATGCTTTGTATGGTAACCTCGCAAAACTTTTCTTCGAATTTCTATATAAAATTGATTTTTTTGTAACTTTTTTTTTTAATGTTACAAAAGTTAAGTCTTGGTATCAAGTATTGCGCTCAATAGTATTTCAATACAACCAGATTCTCTCTTACGCACACATAGATTTTTTTTACTCTATAAGTCCCGTATTTACTTGTTTACATTTATTTGTATTTGTATACATTAACTCAGACATACTGTATAATGATGATGTCACACTTTTTATTTAGTTCCTTTGTCCTTGAGTCCTTGACTTTTTTATATATATTTCTCAACATTTATCATTACTTAGCCCTGTTATAAGTGCACACATTTATTTCACCTGAGGATCAACATGTTGACCTTTGTATCCCACCAATCAAGAGTTTCCATCTCTTGCCTTCTGTGTGATACTTTTTATTGCTCACAGCGTGTGTATGTGTGTGTGTGCGTGTGTTGAGCATAATAAGTTACGATGTGATCCTCCCTCCTCCTCTTTCACCGTCTACGTATGCACATCGACTTCGCTCTATAGGTTACACTATGGTACTACAGTCATTTTTTATTTTATTTTTATTTTCTTATATACTGTATAATCATTTTTATGTTCTGTAATTGTTTCTGACAAGTCTTAGGTAATACTAGTACTTTCTTATTTAGAATAGTAATGGCATTTAAATGACCTCAACTGCCAATTATAGATGGAAATTTAATGTATAACGACTTACAAACCATTCAGCTTACGAACCTCTCGGAACCTATTGGTATTGTTTTGCCAATGTATTACAGCTTTTCCAGAATCAGTGCTTGTATTTGTTGGATTAAAATACATGCCACTCATCTTGAAACCGTTATCTAGATATTTAGAAATTACAAAATTCAAACTGCTTCATCTGTATAAATGCCTGACAAAACAACACCACCTCCTCCATCCTATTCTGTCATTAGATTCCATCACAACTGGTTTCTGAGGACAAACAGATTCATTATAAAGTATAAACAAAACTCTCTGATTTTTTTTTTTTAAACTGGGAGCCAAAAGACTTACCAAAGTTAAACTTATAACTAACAACGACATTGTCACACTGTTGAGACTAAAAGATGAGGCAGTGTAAAATAAATCAAGATGGTCAGTGCGGTGATTCATCCCTGCGGAGAGATTCTGCAGTGTTTATCACACAACAACCTCGTCCAACAACAAGAACAAAGCAGTCAGCGCAGGAATAAATGATGCAGTGACAGCTTGACAGTTGCTACAACTTCATATTCAGTGATACACGGTGGAGCCGCTGAGGCAGAGACAGTGCAGGGACAGAGACACAGTCATCTCCATCATCATCAAGGCCCTTCAGCAAGTTTTTATTACTTGTAGCAACAGAAGTGTCGGTGTTTACGGGTCAAGGGTTGTGTGTTTAGTCACAACAAGTAGAGGAACACTCCCTGAAGATAATGACAAAGGTAGCATTTTTCACAGATGACAAGACTCCCACTGGGGGCAGGAAACTAAAACACATCACAGCCACATTTACTGCTGTTTAAATTACAGCACAGCGAGTTGAAAACATAAACGTCTATTTTGGTTATTGTTTTAGCGTCTTCAGTCCTTTTGGGCTGAATACAAAAATATTTGAAATAAAATCCAAGTCTCTCTTTATTTACTCTCTATTTGGAGTGTTTTTTCACCATCAAACTCCTCTTGAATTTCCAAATTAGAGCTTCAGAAGATTTTGACAGGTATGTGGACACAGTGACAGAGAGCCAGCATGCAGACAGACTGAGGAAGCTCAACGGAACTCAGCCATCATTGGTTTGATTATTTACACGCCTGTAACTTCTGTCTCCTGTGACCTGCCACAATGACTCATAAACAAAGGGGGCATTATTCTTCTCTTAAATACTTTTTTGTTGTTTTATATCTACATGCCATCATTCTTTTCAGAGCTTAAAAGAAATGGTTTGATTAGTAAATCAGTGTGAATGTATACGTTTTCCACGCTGAGAAGCACTGTATATTTAAATAATTCACATTGTATAACAGATATGAACTTAAAGGCAGACAAAACAGCAGCAGATATACTTAAAAAACCGGAAAACACTCTTCACGACCCATTTGTGGGTCGTTTGTAAACGACTCAGGTGAGTGTAGCTTGTCCACAGGTGTCTCCTTCTGTCATCATTAGAGGTCAGTTAACACACTGTGTTAGTGTGTGTGTCTGTGAAAGAGAGAGAGATTTGTGTTTGTGTGTTGGTGGACACACACACACTCACCCATTGAAGTGCGTTTTAATTTTCACCAGCTCTGACTGAAAGTCCATTACGGTTCCGTTGGACGCAAGCGTACGCATCATGGTACGGTTTTCCTCCACACGGTGAGAGACCGGAACTTACTGTGACACGACGACGTTATATAAAATAAAGGTTTACACCGACAACAATAAAGGTCCGTCCAAAACAGAAAAAACTTGTCGAGCTTCTTTAAAGTTTCTTTCGTTTAGACAACATTGTTGAACCCTGTACTGGCTGCAAGAACTCACTGAAGTCACTCTGACCATTTCCTGACTGGTCTTTCAAAATAAAATACATACAAACTTGGACGTAAAGGGCTGAAACTGCCTCAGGAACGTGCTTTTATTTTTTAATTGAAAATCACAGAACGTGTCCGAGGGTAAAGTCCGGCTAACTTACCAATAACTTACTCACTAATGACTCACTATGGTTACGGTAATCCCAATAATTCACCTACCCTCTTTTCTAACGGGGCTGTTTTGTTTACTGTGGCAGTCATTCCCAAATTATACAGATTTAGGAACTTTACAAAATCACCACTGTGTAATTTAGTATACACTTCTAGGTGTGTGTAGTTTTTTTTTTTTTTTAAAAAATACAGAATCACGTAAAATTGCTCATTTTCCTCGGTCGTCAAAGGTAGAAGTGTGATGCAACGTGCATCACGTTCAAGGTACTGCATTTTACAATACATCATTCTTCATTTAAATGTATTTGTCTGTGTAGGTTCTCAGTGGTCAGTCAGAACTGAAGAAGCCTCTTGGATGAGAGGTGAAACCTCTTCAAAAAACCTACATTGTCCAGTTGCTTTCGATGTAACTGTATTTTGGATTAAATGTATGTGGTTCTCCTCTGTCGACAAGGCACTCACAGTGACAAAGTTTAGTGCAGATTACATTATAAAGTATGAAATAGTGGTCTTTGTGATCAAGAAATAACTTGATCAAAGAACAAACGTGTTTTTTATGACTAATTTGGAAATTGACTTCAGAATTGTGGGAAAATAACAAAAGAGTTTTGATGTCCGTAGGTTAACATAAGACATTTATATAACTGGTAAAGCTTAGCAGCAACTGAGCAAGTACTGAAATATAACCACTAGAGGGCAATATTGCATCATTTTGAACCCCTCTTATATTTAAGTATAATAAAATTAATACCGTAAAGAACATAATTGATTCTTTATTTACATATGATAGAAACTTACAAAGCATGTGTAACCTGTTTTGTAAAACCATTACCAGGCAGCAGTATTTGGTATCACAATATTGCCGTCACATATTTCAGCTCTAACATGTTCAGGGTATAGTAGGGAGACGAAGGTCCATGGTTGTAGCAGAGGAGGTGGTGTGTCTCTGAGAGACTGGAACAAAGCTTGTCAAACCCATCAAGGTCAGATTAGGCTGGTGCTGCAAAGATTATCTCTACAGTCTAGATATGCAATAATATTTGATGAGGTAGGTCGGCTCTTTGTTTGAAAGTTTAGCGTTACAATCTTCAGCTGCTGACCAGAGAATCTTAGAGATCTATTCATCTAATAGACAGATAACCAGAGATATACATGTCAGTGTTATTATTCGTATTAAGATCAAAATTATTTACCATGGAAAGCGGATAAGCTAACACTTATATGTGTCACTATCTTTGGACTCCATAACAGTAGGTGGAGATAGTACCCCTGTAATGTTCTTGACACCCAACATTTCACATCATAGAGAACATGAACACTATTAACACATGCTAATTATAACACTGTGGGAAACATGGATATGTTCAATGCTGAGGACATGAAACTGAGTCAGTTTTGTCCAGTGATGTGTTAGAATGTAAAAGCATAACGCTGTCAAAAAGAATTTTTGGTCAAAGATGAACCCCCAGAATGCTCCAGAACATGTCTTCAAGACCTGAGGACATCACAGTAGTGTCTCACTTCATCATGCTGGAAACCATCCATCTCTGGTTTGAGCTGCAGAATCTCTCCAATAAATAAATCAGAGAAGTGGGAAATTCTCCTCAATTTGTTTGCTGCTCGTCTTTATGAGGTTATGATGGGCCTGGAAGCTGGGCCAGTGTAGGAGAACTGGTCTAGACCTTAAATCTGAAGAAACCAAGAAATTGACCAGAAACAACATTGACACAAGACAGTTTCAGTTATGTCCTGTGACATGTCAATGGTTCATAAAGAAGTGAGGTGATTATTCAAGTTTTTGTAGTTGTCAAATAGAACCAATCTAGTTTTTACAGAAGCAGGTGATGAAAGGACGGCCTATGAAAATTGAAGGTTTAAAAATGTGAACTTAGTTGTTGATGGTGATTCATTTCTGTAATCAGTGCAGTTTTCAAATCATCCTAAACCTGTACAACCTTCTTACAGTGAAAAAGTCAAGTTCATGTTGTTATTTTCACTGAATTCAACAATGGTATTTTATACTTTTTCTCCAAAAATGTAGAAAAAAAGTCTCTATCCTCGTTTATTTGAGTTTTTTGTCTATGAAGATTCTCATCCAGGTCATGGTCAAGGAGGTTGAAGAGTTCTGTTAGGCAACTGGATGTGACATTTTCTCAAAGGTCAAACATGTTGGTCCTCATAGTCGCATTATAGGGTCCTTTTGTAACATTTCATGTACCACTCTAAGGCCACACAGTGGCAAATGTTGGTACAGCACCTGTCCTCACAGGAACATGGTCCCTGCTTTGATTCCACAGCGATCTTTATGTTTGGAGTTTCACCTCATGAAATGCATCAGCAGTGGAACATGTTGATCAGATCAGAGAATCCAGGCAACAACAACCAGTGGTCAGGGTTGAATTCCTCACATACAGAAATCCAGGAAAGATCTCAAAGTCCAGAGAAGATTTTCAACAATGTTACTTCAGGAAACTCCAGTCAAGAACAAGGTCAATCCACAGGACAGTGTGACCTCTCAGGTGTTTCACACAATATCTGAATGGTTCGTCACTCCTGATGTTTCATCTTTTAAGGATTGTCCTTTGGTAAACAGAAAAAAAACAGCTCTGTAAATAAATTGAGGACAGTGATGAAGACAGACTGTCAGTCAATGTCTCACCTTCTGTTTCGT